TTCTCCTCTCTGAGGGCATTCTCTGGGAGCTCAAACAGTGAAGGAGAAATAACTAAAGGAAATCATGTCTGGGAGATGTGTGGAGTCCTCCTTGCAGGAGTATTTAGTCAGTCCTTTTCAGTTTGTTTTTAGAGAATACTCGTCTTTTAACCTGATTGTTTCTGGCATGCCAGTTCTCTGTTTCTTTCCCCTTGAGAGGTACAGTGTTTTCAGTCTTAGTAATTGACTAAAGGGATTTTGCGAGTCAGGTGGGAAAAGCACTGTGGTAGTATGTTCTAAGCATGTTTCTGAGAAGGGGTATTGTCCCAAAGTAGATTTCCGTTCGTACTCAATTCCTTAGAGCCCTGCTAGGGACTGTAATCCATTCACTAGGAATCTAATTCATAGGGGCGAAGATGGTTTCCCTTCATAGATCCATTCTGGATAATCAGATTATAGATCTTTCCTCTGTTCCTAAAATGGACTGGAACTTTTTAAGGGCAGAATTTCATTATTAATACAGTTGGGTGCTTTAGCGGCATAAAAAGAACAAAGAATCAGGAAGCAAGATTCTCCAGGCAGAAATTCAGCAATCTGAATAAGCCCTCTCCCGGCCTTGCACTTGTGGCCTCTTTTTCTCCTTCATACATGTGGCTTAGGTGTACATTCTTTAGTCAGTGATGGACCAGGTTGGAGGAGGTTTTTCTTAGTTGCTGATACAGTCAGTCACCTTCAGCCCTGAGTCTGATCTATTTTGCTGTTCCTTTTTCAAAAGTATGGAAAAGTTCAACCATAAAGTTATTCTGCAAAGCATCATAACATTGATATTGTAGGTATAATACTTCAGGTCTCTACTTGTAACATGTCACTGTATCCATAAGATCTTCCCTGACCACCCACCCCATTTAGAATAACAACATCAATTCCTGCTCTAGCACACTCAATCCCCTTTCTTTTTTTTTTTTCTGTAGTATTTTTCACTATCTGACATTACTGTATATTTCACCTGTTTGTTTCTACCCCTGTTAAAATGTAAGCTGTTTAAGGGATTTTACTGTGTATTCACTACTTTTCCCTTGCATAATGTCTGACACATAGCAGATACTCAGTAAATACTTGTTGAATTAATACAAAAAAAAAATTAATAGAGAATAGCATAAGGGGAACTTGTGTGCCCATCACTCTGTTTAAGAAATAAAACATTATAAATGCAATTGAAGCTCCAACATACCGTTCTCTATTTCATTTCCCCGCTTTCTCTCAGAAATAGCCACAATCTTGATGTCGGCTGTTGATAAAATCTCTTTAGCCTGTTCACTTAATTTGAATAACTTTTATCATATCTTCCTACTTTACAAGTAATACATGTTCCTTTTAAAAAAATTAGAAAACATATATATGCGTACACACAAAATCCCATGATCCTAACTGCCACTATTGTTTCAGTGCATTCTTACTAGCTATGGGACCTCAGGCAAGGTTCTTAACCATAGAACCTTAGTTTCCTATCTGTAAAATAGGAATAATAATAGAATTTACCTCATAGCATTATGGTAAGGATTAAGTGAGAACCCATATGAAGGACATAACAACGGTGCCCAGCACATAGTAAGCACATTGATGATGGCGATTAGGTAGATAGCCTTTCAAATGATCCATCTGATTATAGACCTTTTCTGATTTTAGACTTTGTATCCTATGTAACTTATAAATTGTCTTGGGGATTGATTTGGAAAGTGCACAGTCCTTGTTTGAGAGTTTCCTCATTAACAAATGGGCTTACAGTCAGTATAGAACATACATTTGCATTTGCAGAACATAGCATGACTCTGCTGATTGCTCTCTCCAGGTGAAGAACATCATTTACCACGCAGTGAAAGATGCTGTTGGCACCCTCAAGGCTCATGAATCCAAACTGGCAAGGTCTTAGGCACAGCGAAATTCCAAACTCTCCTGTGAAGCAGGTCTTTCACTCACAACACATACAGGGAACGGCAAGATTCTCTGCTGGAGCAGAGGCCTTTCACTCGGAACCAGTGTGGTCAGTATTACAAACTCTCCAGCCACTGTTTTCTCCGCTGCCTCAACACTGAAGGTTGACACAGGAAAGTTGCACTGTTCACACATGGCAGTTTCAGACTCCAAGCCGAGGGTGCCACATCCCCATCCTGTGTGGCCTTTTTGGGAATCTGAATTGCCCAAATACTGCTGGGTTTTCCTGCACATTGTCGTGATTTCAGATTCATGGAAACCAGGAATGTGGGCACATCTTTCTTTTCTTTTTCTCTTGTGCCTAGTTAGGTGGGAATGTGTTTGGAGGTAGGGAGATTACATAACTGGTACAAGTATGGGATAATTGCTTAAACATGTCTGGTGGAAGCCTGACAATGTCTCTGCACGTGACTTCTGACGCGGCCCATTCCAGGACACGGGATGAAGCCATTCCCCACACTCTCCCGTGAACACTGGAGTCTTGCAGGACCCAGGGAGAACCCACTGCTTTTCCCAGAAGGCTCCAGGATTAGGAAACGTGTGTATTTAGTGAAAAATAGGTTTGTAGTGAAATAGTTACTATTTCATGAAAGTAGATATTTTTAGACTTTTTAAAATACCACAGTTGTTTTCCTGGCTTATGAGGAAAGGCATATTACATTTAGTCTTCCTTTCAATAAAACTCTTTGAAGAACTATGATTTTTAGAAATCAGCTGCCCATTATAGCACAAAATCAGCCAAAGCAGAATTTAAAAGAATTGGCTTTTTAGGATTCTTTTATTTTCTCCCCCTCCCATCTCAGTCCTATCTTGAGGGAACAGTCATCTGAGAAAGAACTTTGTCATGTCCGAGCTGTGTTATGTTCCATGCATACACACACTGGTGGCTCCAGGAACCATTTTCAGCTATTACCAGCGTTCCCTTGGGACTCATCGTAAGTTTCCAAATGGGAAGGAAGATTTGATTTCCAACATGAGTTTTTTGTTTTGTTTTGGGGTTTTTTTTGGTCCAGAAATATTTTTTAGCAAAACTTTCCAACTCACTGGAGTTTTATTAAGAATTTATTTGAAAATGGTGGAATTCATTGGCCCATAGGTACATTGGGAAATGTATCTCTTGTCTCTCCAGCTGTACTGTAGTGTCCTGCAGGCTTGTTTATATATTCACAGTTACTTTTTTTTTTTTTTTAATAAAAGTCATTTACTGTAGAATACTTTTAATTTTACTTTCTGTATTTTAATTTTGTTGAAGGGCTGATTGGGATTCCATGTTCTTATTAAAAATCTAACAAATCTATTTGGAGTGGACTAAATTCTTCCTGTGCCAACCCTTCTAAAACCAGGACCAAGTTGAGGGCAGGGTTGAGGTGGCATGGCTCATTACCTTGCTGCACCCAATTATTATTACTCTTTGCTTCCTGAACTTAGGCCCATTTGGGAGAAAGGGAAGTGCCAGGGTGAGACCAGCATGGTTGTGGGTTTTGGAGTGAGGGAATGGGGCCACATGAGTTAGAAGATAGGAGGACAGAGAAGTTTTCCCATAGTTTATGCTCTGTGAATGGAATGGGAATGGTAGGGTCCTACCTTCCTGGGCCACAGTCTGAGGGAAAGGGGAAAGGCCATAGTGTGTGGCTGATTAGGGTTTTGGGCAGTCGATTGTGGGGTTCCTCTAAGCAGGAGGCCTGACTGCCCACATATGAAACATGTGGGCCTGGATCCGCCTCAGAGTGTCAGGAGAACACCCGAATAGGATTTAATTTTATATATCAAGCAGCAATTAAAGTGGCTTGAGGAGTGAGGACAGACTGCATTCCAAATAGAAGGGGCCTTTTGGAAAGGAAGATGTACAGAATAGCGAGAGTTGTTATCAGAGGCTGCTTCCCAGGAGCCTGTTGGAAAAACATCTTCCAACGTTTGAGCCTGGAAATGTAATTATCAGGGTAAAAATAGACCATCGTGTGGTTCAGGGATACTGGGTTTGAATAGGACCGTAACTCTGAAATACAGCACTGTGAGCATGTCCTTTCAGCCTGGATGGGCACGGGTTGATGCTGTGGTCATTAGAAGGATTACAATTCAACACAGGGTAGAGGAATGCAGAAGCTTTTGAAATGGGACAGAAAAGGAGAGCAATGGCACAGGAAAGAGGGGGAGCTTGGAGCTTGGTTGCTTTGGTGAAAATCAGGAGGCAGGCTAGCCTACATTCTCTGTATAAATGTTTCATAATTAAGGCATCCACTGCAGCCGATGCTTGCTGACGGGGGTGAAACTGGAGACCCTGGGCCCTTATCCTACCTGGGGTTGGTTGGTTGGTTGTCCCCCCTGTTTAAAGAGGTCTGGCTCCTCCCCTGCCCCAGTGTAGGGTATCTACTTTGGGAGCCCCTGGTTCTGTTCACCTGCAAAGGTTAGGAAGCAGACGGGGAGGGACCCTCTTCCAGCTGGGGTGATTGGTCATTATTGAGGAGATGAGTGGACGAGTGCAGCTGTACCTTTGACTTCAGGAGCTTTGAGATGGGCGTCTGCAGGGGGAGGGGAGTTTGCTAGTCAACAATTGGGGGAAGTAGCCTGTTTAAAGTTGATTTCCTGGGTTCATATCTTAGCAGCATGAGTTAGTGGTTCTGTAACCCTTGGCAAATTATTGAACCTCCCTAAGCTTCCCATTTCCTTATCTTCAAAATGAGGACAGTTATAACCTCTGCCTTATAGGGTGCTCATAAGGATTCACTGAGATGATGCATGTGACGCTCCAGCACAGGGCCTGGCACACAGTAAGCACTCAATAAAGCATAGCTATTGTTTCTCCTGGGGCGTTTAAGCCTTTCAGCCTGGTGTGGGCAGGGCAGGAGGTGGACTGGGACTGATGGAACCGTAAAGGTATCCGAGGACCTCAGCCGAGAACGTGGAACCCAAGAAAGAACAAGCGATTGGAGGAAGTCAGGGCACAGAGGGTCAGAGGCGCATGCCCGGCGACAGCAGGTGCAGGGGCGCACCGCTGCAGCCGACGCAGCCGTGGCCTCCCCTTTAAGAGCCGCCGCCGCCCATGCCCCGCCGCTGTGGCAGGGACCTCCCCTTTAACAGCGGCGGCTCCGCGCTCTGCTGCCCCCGCGGCGGCGGCTGCTGCTGCGGCTACTACTGCGGCTGTTACTGCGGCTTTTGCTGCCGCCGGCGCCCGGCCTCGGGCAGCTGCATCCTCCGCCGGGCCGGGTCCCCGCCCCTGCGCCCCGCCCGGCCCCGCCATGGTGTCCTGGATCATCTCCCGCCTGGTGGTGTGAGTGCGGTGTTGACGGCGGCGGGGCGCGCCCGTTAGGGGGAGGCGTTGGGGGCTCCGGGTGATGGGAGCTAGTGATACGGGGGAGGGTATTAAAGCCCGGAATGGAACTCCCCGCGGCTTCATACAGCAGAGCCGCCTAAAGGCACGTCGTCTCTGTTAGGGGTCCCCAGGGACATAGAGGTATGGGACCCACGACGGGAGGAGGGAACATGGGGGAGCATGACAGGCTTGACTTCCCAGGGACCTCACCCACTCCTTTATTTTTAATTTCCCCCATCGACCACTCTGCTCCCTCCCCCATCGTTGAGCCACAAGGCTTGATTTATAAGGAGAGGCAGGCAGTCCCTTCCCCCACCTAGCAGGTCTGGCTCCTCAGACCTGGGCCCTACTCTCCCTGTGGGTAGAGAAGCAATTGAAAAGAGTAGGGAGCAAAGCAGGGCCTCATCACTGCCGAGGGCCCATTCCACAGCTTAGAGCTATAGCCAGCTCCCTTGGCGTTCCCAAAGGGCCTAGAACTTGCTGCCCCCACTGTCAAGAGACGGGATGAGGGCACAGGGCCTGGAGGCCTGCTGCCCCCAGGGAGAACATCTCCAAGCAAAGATGCTTGGAGGACTGAGTGTGGGAGGTGACTGGGAGAGGATGTGTGTGCTCAGCCTGGGATTGTGAAAGCCGCTGGGGGGAGGACATTAGGCAGCCTTCATTCTAGGCTGCCAGCCAGGGTGTGGAACTATGCCCCTGTCACCTCCCCCAGGCTTCAGGAGAAAACCTCTCCCCGTGACCCCAGACTTTATACTTGAGGATTCTGCCCCCTGACCTCATCTGCACAAACCAATTTGGAAGTATCCTACCTCAGTCAGGCAGGTCCATGTGGGAACAGGCGCACCCACACATTGTCAAGGCGTGGACCTGACAAGCACTCCCTGCAGCCTCAGAGCAAACTGCTGCCCTAGCTCAGGACCCTGCCCCTCAGCCTCCAGCTTGGGGGAATGACCCCCCAGCAACCCCTCCCTGATGCCTTCTCCCTATTCAGTGCTGTCACATGCCTGTGTCCTGGCTTCCTCTAGGCACACTGGGTTCTCCACCTTCCTCTTCCCCCACCCCTCCCTAGAGGGAAGCCAGGGCCCTCATTCCTCCATGCAGCCTTAAGGGTGGCTGCTTCTGTTGCCCCAGTAAGTTCCCTGAGGAGCATCAGTCCTCTCACTCCTCACCCTGTGTCTTGTCTGTGGTTGGTAATGGGATCACCAAGGGGCCCCACTCCAGCCAGGGCCCTCCCCTGAGCCTAGTCCCAAGGGAGTTTACAAGGGGGAGTGAACCTCTGCCCCTCCCAGGGCCCCCTGCCCCTGTGCCTTCTGCTCCCCAGGGCCACAGTGGTCCTTCTGACTGCCAGGCAGAGTGCCCTGTTAGGTGGTGTCCAGTTCCCTTGCAGAGCTGGCCCTGCCCAGCCTGGCTCTGAGACAGGGAGGCAGAGGGTAAGGGCAGATGTTCATGAATGGCCATGGTGTCTGGGGAAGGAAGAAATTCCCATGGTAGTGACTAGACCCCCACTCCCCATGATATGTTTGTGCATAACCAAAGATTGGCCCCTCTAGCCTATGTGTGCCTCAGTGGCTGGAGAAAAACTAAGCAATGTAAGAGGGGCATCACCCCAGCTGTCTGGGGGTCTCCATGCATGTATGTCACCTGAGTCTCGACTGCTTGTTAACCGCTGACCTGAATTCATCACTCCAGCCAACGTGGCACTCTGGAGTTCTGTCCCTTCTCCCCTTAGCTACCCAGGGGCTGATGCAGAGCTGGGAGGGAGAGGCCACTGCCCCTGGCTAAGGGGCCCAATAACCATGCCTGCCTCCCTAGGCTCATCTTTGGCACCCTGTACCCAGCCTATTCTTCCTACAAGGCCGTGAAGACAAAAAATGTGAAGGAATATGTGAGTGTATGACCCCTTCACCTCCCACGCAACCCATACGGCAGAGGGGGAGGACAGTGGGTCACATTACCAATGGGGATGATTTCGTAACAATGCTGCCAACCACTAACAAGATCCTGGGTCAAAGGAGGGTCCTGGGTCTTCCTTCCCCCCAGCCTTGAAGTGATCTTCAGGCAAAGTTAAGGTCCTGGGAGTCCCTTCCCCACAATACCCCCAGTGTAGTTGGCAGGCAGAGTTGCAGTCCTGGATGTACCCCCAGCTCTGGAGTGATTGGTGGGCAGAGTTATGTTCATGGGTGTTCCTGGCCCCACGGCCCCAGGCCCCAGTGAACACTGCCCTCTGTACCTTCAGGTGAAATGGATGATGTACTGGATCGTCTTTGCCTTCTTCACCACAGCTGAGACACTTACGGATATCGTGCTCTCCTGGTGAGGTCCAGCATCCCCTCCCTGCAACTTGGGGTTCAGGGCCTCTGACTTGCTCCACTCAGCCGGCCAAACAGAATATTGAGACCCAGGGTGGAGCCCCCCCACATTCCCATGGAGCCCTGGTCGGCAGAATAAGCACAGACATAACCCCCACATTTTTTCTGTTGGCAGTCAAAGCACCACAGTGGAATTCAGGAGACTTGCTTCTGCCACACTTACTGTGACTTTGGGCAGATCACAGCTCTCTGTGCCTCAGTTTCCCTACTTGTAAAATAGAGATGTGATTCAATCCCATAACACTGGATGCTTGTCTTTCAAAGGCATTTTTCCAGGCACTACTAGACTATGTATGAACACTTTGAGGACAGAGAATATGTCTTAATCATCTGCATATGTACAGCAGGAGCTCAAAAATGTTTATTGAAAAAAAAATGCTTGATTGAATGAACAAATGCCTCTTGGAAGAGAGGACCAGTAGAGTGCAGTACTTGAAAGTCTAGAGAAGAGTTTTACAGAAGGGTAGAGAACAAAAGGTTATTGCATTTGTAATTTCTGAGGGCCTTATGGCCTTTGAGAAACAATAGTTCTGGCAGAGGAAGGAGAGGGTCAGGGTAGTGAGTATAGACACCTCTTAACACAAGTGAAGGAGAGTTTTAATGACGGCCTTGTGAGGATGTAGAATACCTGGAGGAGTTTGTAGCGTGAGGAAAAGGAGCTGTAGTGAATGGAGACCTGTGCTTAAAAGCAAGGGGCACGTCATGGCAGTGAGAGATGGATCCAGAGCACAGCTAGAGAAGCCCCAGCCACTTCATGGGAGGGAAGGCAAGAAGGGAAGGTGGTGAAGGCCCAAGTGTAACCTGGCAGGTTTAGGGAGCTTACCTTGGATGATGTTGATCCCAGGGCAGAGGGAGTGGGATACTCTGTAAAAGAGGGTGGCGACTCAGAGGGAGGAGGGGGACAAGGACAGTTGCTGCCAAGGGGAATTCCTTCTGGGTTCACCTTTCACCTTCCCATTTGGAGTCTTATCTGAGCCTTCCAGTGCCCTTGGGAGTTAAAAATGATCATTTCCATGAGCCAGTGGTGACCCCAGTGTGCTAAGATGGGAGTGGGGGGCAGGGGAGCTGCTCAGGATCATGCAGGGAATAGTGTTGCTGAGCCAGCATACTTCCTGACTCCTTGCCCTGTGCTTTGCCACTTGCCTCTGTTCCCCCAACAGGTTCCCCTTCTACTTTGAGCTCAAGATTGCCTTCGTGATATGGCTGCTGTCCCCTTACACCAAGGGCTCCAGCGTGCTCTACCGCAAGTTCGTGCACCCGACACTGTCCAACAAGGAGAAGGTTTGCCCCTACTCCCAGCCTGCAGCCACATACATTTCTGGCTCTCCCTGTGGGTGCCTGGAACCTAAAGTAACCTATCAGTGCCATTGTCCAGGTGTGACCAAAGGTAGGGCGGGCCCTTACCTCTTTCTTCTTCCCATTGACCCCTCAGGAGATTGACGAGTACATCATGCAGGCCCGAGACAAGAGCTATGAGACCATGATGAGGGTAGGCAAGAGGGGCCTGAATCTGGCCGCCAATGCCGCAGTCACAGCTGCTGCCAAGGTGAGATGGGGGCATACCCAGACTCCCAGGGTCCTCACCTTGTTGATCTTGTTCCCCTGGCCAGGCCCCCTTTGTGTCTACCTGTCCTCAGGGCTGTGGAAGCTTTGGGCTTGCACAACTCTGGGTTCAAGTCCTGGCTCTACCACTCTCTAGCTGTGTGACCTCAGGCAAATCATTTCTACTTTTGTGCCAGTTTCCTCATCTGTAAAAAAGGAAAATACGGCACCAACCTCTCGGCACTCTTATAGGACTGGGTGAGGACAGTATGGGTGAAGTGCTGAGCCCAGTGGCTGCTGTCAGCACCATGGTGACCTCTGTCTCCACCCCGCCCCTTTCCTTCGGCTCTGCCGGTGCGTGGTGGTGACCCTAGGGCCAGGGGGTGCTGTCAGAGAAGCTCCGAAGTTTCAGCATGCAGGACCTGACCCTGATCCGGGACGAGGATGCATTGCCCCTGCAGGGGCCCGACAGCCGCCTCCGACACAGCCCTGGCAGCCTCCTGGACACCATTGAGGACTTAGGTACAGGCAGGGCCCTAGGCCGGGGAGAGGGAGGGGTCTGTGACCAGGCGAGACACCTGGGCCTCTGTTCACCCTTTTCCGCCAACCAGGAGATGACCCTGCCCTGAGTTTGAGGTCTAGCATGAACCAGGCAGACCCCCGGACAGAGACCTCTGAGGATGACACAGGGGACAAGGCCCCCAAGAGAGTCAAATCCATCAAAAAAGTGCCCAAAGCTGAGGTGAGAGCATGGGGCCAGAGTTTGGGGAAATGTAGAAGAAGGTGGCTCCAAGCTGATTTCCCCCCTCCCTGTTTTCCTCCCTCCTTCCCACAGCCACTGGCTTCCAAGACACTGAAGACCCGGCCCAAGAAGAAGGCCTCTGGTGCAGGTGACTCAGCTTGAGGTCTGCCAACCCCCTGCAGGCTGCAGAGCAAGGAGAAAGCCTCAACCCCAGCCCTTGCTCTACAACTGTGCCAGTGGCCCAGGTGTCTCAGGCCTGGGGGCCCCTTCGGATACCCATTTCTGGTGCCTGCCCCAGTGGCTGCTCCTCTGGAAAGGGCTTGGAAAAGAGGAGGGAGGCCTGCTGTGAGGGTTGAGGGTAGAGGCCAAACCAGGAACTGAGGACGGAGCCGCCCAAGGAGGTGGGGCCTCCTGGGAGCCTGCACCATTATTCTCCTGCCCCAGCCCTGCCCCCACCCACCCAGTGCCTTGCCGAAGACCATGGCCATCCCCTTCTCTGAGGCCCTAGCATGTCCCCACTGTTCTCCTGAGGGAGGGGGGCACAGCCCACATGAACCAAGGTATCTGAGAGAGAAGGAATGAGTGGGGAAGGCCTTGGGCAACCTGGGCAGAGGGCTCTAGGCGTCAGCCACCTGGGGTGGAGGTTGGTGGGTGCATAAATGACAGGATGGCCAAGCTGGAGCTGCAGCTGGGGAGCTCTTTCCTGGGCATCCGGTAGGGCTGTGAACCACATGTCCCCACTAGGAGAAAGAGGTGGGGCTTCCAGGGGTGTGTGTGCGTGCCTGCGTGCCTGAGTGTGCATCTTTCTGTGCCTGAGTGTGCATCTTTCTGGGTCTGCGGCTGGGAGGAGTTTGGGTAAAGGGCTTTCCCTCCAGCAGTCACCTCCCCCACCCTCAGTCCTACAACCAGCTGGCCCTTTCCCCTTCCCAGCCCTCCCTCCTAGTGTCTGAGCCTCATTGGACCCTAGCCCATGAGAAAATGGGCTCCAAGGGGCCTCTCACCTCCTCCTCTGTCCTGGACCCCCTCTCATTCCTGCCTTGCCCGTAGGCTGGGCTCCTCAACCCCTCAGGCCACTGTAGGGGCCCCTGCTGAGCTGGCAACTTTCCTCTTCACCTGGAGGCCCATCCTCCTCCCTCCCCTCAGGCCCTCTTCCTGTGCCAAGCTGACTGGGCCCTCTGTGAGCAGACCCCGCCAGAGCCCAGCCTTCATCCCACACCCTGCCCCAGCTTCTGCCATGGTTTCAGTCAGGGCCAGAAGTAACATATGGAGAAGAAAAATTTCAGGAGCCAAGGTGCTCCCAATTCTTTGGAAAGAGGGTGAACACTGGACCTTTGACACTGGATAAACCGATAAACAACTCTGGCACTTCATTTTTGGAGGCCTGTGTGCTTTGTTCTTGCCCCATCCAGTCAACAGGTGAGAGATACGGCCCAGCCGGGGTTGGAGGGGTGGGGAGAAGAGAGGTCAGACTGGTGAACTGCAGAACTCTGATTTCCAAGGTAACAAAGATGGGCTTGGGTTGGTTCCATCTGGAAAAAATATATTTGGTGTTCAAGATAGAGTCAGGGGCCTAGGAGGGGCCAAGGACTTAAGAAGGGCCAAGGCCAACTCTTCAGACAAACATTAGACTGGACTATTGGACATAAAATGATACTTGTGAAGAGTGTGCTTCTTAGCTCAAGTAGATACATGAGACTAAATGGGCAGCTCCTGTCCAGAAGCGAGATGGGAAGGCAGAGAAGGTCAGGAGCTGGTTGAATGGACACGGGGAATCCGGGGCGGAAAGAAGGAGTGTGCTGTCACAGTATAGGGAGAGCAACTAGGGTCACAACAATGTATGTATAAATTTTTGTATGAGGGACTAACTTGAATTGTAAACTTTCACTTAAAGCACAACAATAAAAATAAAGTAAGCAAGCCCCCAAAAAAAGAAGGGCCAAGGGTTGTGTTAGCCTTCAGAATCCTACCCTGAAGCCCTCTCCCCCAGTAGGCTTTCTGGTACCCACCAAAAGTGCCAGGTGTAGGCTCTGGGGACAAAAACCCCAAGGAGGCCCCCAGGGAAGAGAGAATGGGATTTAGGGCTGCTCGCCAGGGCCTGGGGTTGGGTGGCCACAGTGCCTAGAAAGGCCAAGAAATAATGGGAGTGTGGGGTGTGTGGGGTGTGTGTGTGTGTGTAAACCAGAGCAGAGAGGAAGAGACAGGTAGCATGAGGGAGGAGGCAGGTATCAGAAGGCAAGACAGAGGCTGTGGAAGAACTAGCCCCACGAATCAAAAAAGGGGGCCAGCAAGGAGGACAGGGAACCAAGGGCTGGGGCCAAAGAGGCAAGCCTTGGTGTGGTACCAGGACAGGAAGGGGGTGAACTCTGAACTGCTGGCCTAGGGGGAGGAGAGAAGAAAGGGAGGCTGCCATGCATGGGGTCTGAGCCCTCCCTCCAGAAATAGAGCCATAGTCACCAGGGGCCAAGAAGCCGAATTGGCTGAGAATGAGACTCTGGGAGGCCAGAACCCAGGAAAAGGGGAAGGACTGGAGGGAGACAGACAAAGGAAAAGAATGGAGAGGGAGGGAGAACAGACCAGAGAAATAGCAGCTCAGCCTTAAGGAAGGAAAATGGAGAAAGAGGAACATGAGGGAATGTGAGCAGGGACTTGGACCCAGGCTCTGGACCCAAGGCTGGCCCCTGCCCTGGCATCAAAGGGCCGTGTCTTCCTGCCACACTTGAGCCAAGCTAGCTAAGAAGCTCTTGAAATGAGGTCATGGTGGGGGCAGGATGTGAGCTACCCCTCTCATCTTCCCTGGAATCCTCCAGAGGTCATTCCTTTCACCATTGGCCTCTGAGCAATGTGACCCACTTCTCTATCAGAAAAGAGAGGAAGGAGCTGGGGTAGAATTCAGGGGAGAGAGTCCCTTATTCTAGAAAGATCTCCAGAGAGTAAGATGCTGCAGTCCCATGCTAGCAGCTACCACATGGCCAGGAAACCAGGTTAGGCCCTCTGTAACCTGCTGAGTGTGTATCTCTCTCTCTCTCTCTCTCTCTCTCTCACACACACACACACACACACACACACACACACACACTTAGATACATATGCTTGTACCCACAGTGACTGGTGACTAAGGAGGTCATTGCCAGATCCCTCAGTTCTCCATGCACATGTGGGTGTCTCCATGTCAACAGGAACATGCTTAGATTTCCAGGCTTATTGGTTTGTTGCCATGGAAACATCCAGGCTTCTAGAGCTCTAGGCATAGAGCCTAGCCCCTGTGGTGCAGAGGACGAGAGGAGAGATAAAGGGTGCCAAAATGAATGGGTAGAAGGGCTCATGGGAGGAGGCTGGTGTGACACCTCTGGGTCAGGTGACCCCTTGCTGTCTCCTCATTCCCTGGGACCACCTGTCCTCTCCCCTCTGCCTCAGTAGATCTTTCCAGACCAGTGGAGTAGGGAAGAGATGTCAGGACAGAGGTATAAGGTCAGAGCTATGTGGAGGGTGCAGTCAGTGTGGGCTTGATCACTGGCTGGGTCACCAGGGAGCATTGAGAGGTAATGGCTTTGGGTTAGAGGCTGGAACTGGGGTCTAACCCTGTGTCCCATGCCCAGGCCTCCTTGGGGATATTGGACAGCCCTCCAGGCATGAGGACCCTGTCTATGATGGCCTTAGGCCTCAAGCTGCTTCAGCTGGCTTCCCCTCCCTCTCTTGTGGGTGACCGACACCCGGAGAACCTGCTTAAGATGAGATTTCCGTGCTGTGACGTCAGAGGAAAGCCGGCAGCTCCAGCCTGTGCCAGCTCTTGCTCTGATCAGCAGAGCTGAGCCCAGCCTTGCATGGCCTGGAGGGAGGGGGGTGGGCAGAGGAGGAGGGGTGGCTCTGTTGGCTCTGGGCCCCGGTCTACAAGTCTGGGGCATCCGGGATGATAGGAAGAGGCTGTTTCCAGGCCAGAAGCCCCTGCTGGCTCCCAGTAGCCAGATAAAAATCCTTAAAGAACCCTCTCTAACCTCAATCTCTCCTATTAAAGTCTTCTCCAGTTTGGTCCCCACTGCCTTATATTTCAGCCAGTACAAGATCACTCCCTCACCTTCCCAGTTGCCCTAGTCTTTCCCTGCCTGAGCTGGGTCTGGCTTGCGTAGGGGAGGGGGGCACCACAAGTCCTCAGAGCCAGACAACTATCTTCATTTGGGTCCTACCCAATCAATCGCATCTCCCAGATCTCGGCTGGAAGCATCAATGCGTAGGAGAGACACCTGCAGGGAGGGGAAAAAGCCCACTAGATGGCGCAGCTCCCTACGAATGCAGGATTTCCCTGCCTCTTGGGGAGACTACCTCCTCCTGCAGCCAGTCTGCTCCACAGCATTAGGTAAGCAGAGTGCCTCATGCTCTACTGCCTGGAGTTAGGGGCTCATGAAGAAAAATACTCTTGTGGGTGGACAGGACAGGACAGCTGTGGAGTCTCAAGAAATCGCTCCCAGCTTCCTAAACCCAGCCTGTGTGCATACCCCTGCTCATTTTCCACAGGAGGCGGTCAGATCCAGAAGGCAGACACTACCTTGGGGTGAGGATCAGGCCTTCTCCCAGGAGCAGGGAGATTGCCAGGCTGACCAGAGAGGGCCTTGTGGGCTAAGGGACCCAGCCTGGGATTCTAAAGTGGCATCTAGAGAGGCGGCTGGAGCTGGTTTCAGGGACAAGTGGGGAGACGGTCAGACCTAGAAGCTGCCGCCCAGGCAGTGCAGAGAGGGTATGAACAAGAGAGGGGAGGGACGTTCACTCAGCTGTGTTTTGGTTTCCCTGGATATGACCTCCATGAGGGCCACAGTGGCAATCACAGGCCTGCCCCAGGTTTCCCTGCCCCCTGCCCATTCCCTTATTTCCATTTGGAGTACTGTGGGGTTGAAAGAGGAGACAAAGATCCTAGTCCCAAAGCCTGGCTTCCCAGGGCATTTTTGCAGGGGCTGAGGGTGGGGCTCCTTGGTGATCTACCTTTCCCTGACCTCTTTCCTAAACTGACCCCACCAGCCCTGCACCCCCATTACCCTCTCCTTTTGTCACAGCCAGATGAATGATCAATAAATAATGCTACCTGAAATATTGATGGTGAGTTTTACACAGGCATCACTTAGCTGTGCCTGTCATTGGGGAGCTCGAGGGCTGACAGGGAAATGCATGCCCCCCTCACCCCCAGACAGCTCTTCCCTGTCTCCCCTAACAGCGAGTCTTTCTTTGTCAAAATTTCAACCCGTTCCTGTCTCATCCAGAATCATGATGCAGTCCCATCGACTGAAAATAAATGAACCAGAGATGGTCTTAGCCAGCTCCCCTGGCTGGGCAGATGGGGCAGCTTCCCAGGGAAGGATAGGGTAAGCTAAACCAAGCAGAGACCCTTCCTGATACCTTTGTTTCCCATAA